TAAACAAGGCCTAAGCATTGTAGTCTCGTAGGTTACTCATTTGAGAATTAAATATGTCTGAGGTTAAAGGTACACTTTAGTAGTAGAAAACTACATGAGTAGTGCTTAAAAATTTATATTTTAATCTATCTGTATTTGTATAGATTTCAACAAATACTCAATTCTAATACCACTATTCCATTGGTTACTTGAGAGTCTCAAGTCCAAACGTTATCAAGTATACTGGTTCTAGATCTAAACTCATATATATATATATATTCTTTTTTATCAATTTCGAGTCAAAACTGAAAAAGAATTGACTTTTGACACGATATGCAATACAAGATACTCAATGTTCTCCCTAGTTATAATATATGCTGAGCAAAATACTACTCCTAAATCCTAATGCCAAATACCTCAAATGGGTGACAAAGGCACAATTGAAAACATTGCACAACAAAGCCCAATTCCTTTCGAAGGCTGGCTATCTATTGAACCACATTCACCAATCTGAACTAAACCACCAATTGACCAGGTCCAATTTTCAATTTCGGATCACGTAAAGTTTGGAAAAAGTGGCCAAAAAAACAAGAAAAAAGAAAACTTTTCTGCCCAGAAGATCCACAGTAGAGTGAGAGTGGAATGGAAGCTCTTGGAAAAACTTGCTTATCTTTATTACCCACAAATTTTTCACTTGAAAATGGCATCAAAAGCAAAAAATTAATCACCAATTCCAGTTTTCCTGCTACTGTAAAATCTGGGATTTGCTGCAAATTATCTGGTAATGGGAATGAAGAAAAACCCTCAAGTAATTCCATCACAATTCCCAAGAAAAGTAGGATGGAAGAGTATAATATTGCCATGAAGAATATGATGAGGAACCCATATGAATATCATCATGAACTTGGTCAGTTTCTAATTTTATATTTTGATTTTATTTTTGTATAATCATGTTATTATTAAGATTATCAATTATGGGTTTGATATGATTTGATTTGCCCAAATTTGACCTGGGTGCTTGTTAAATTTAATAAGAGTTGATGAAAATTCAGATTCATTGGTTTATGTTGATAATTTTTTAATTATAGATTAGAAAAGTAGAAGCATTATCTTTGATTTGTACTTCTTCAGCTTCATTAGTTGGGTGATTTAATTGATTAATGTCTTATGATCATATTGTTAAGCGGGGTTAGAATAATATCTCATTGCCAGCTCTTAGAACCTTTTGCCTTATGATGTATTGGTGTGACTTTCTAATGGAACCAAAGTAAATTACTTTTTGGGTTTGAATTACATTGGACGTTGTGAAGATAATTAATGGATTTGTTTGCACTTAATAGTTACTCCCAAAAATAGTCATGTTGATTGTGTAATTTGTACTAATTATACGAAGTATAATGAATGGAGTACTCCATATTGCATGTTTGTTGCCTTTAAAATTAAGGGTCAGTTGAAACCAATGTCTATCAACTTTGGTAACCTCTTTGAAGGCATTTGGGTTAATATTGATATTGATTTTGATTGTGTTAAAATACATGTAGCGTGGCTTCCTTTTTCCTTTTATACTTTCATTTAGTTGATTATGTTTGAGCTTTGTGGCAAAGAAAGTTACTTTGTGATCATATTAGTTTAATTGATCATGCTTATCATATTGGCATAAAGAATTCATTTAGCGTTGAGGATTAGTGGAACTAATTGGACTAATTGGTTCATTAATCTTTCAACAAAAAGCAAATTAAAGGTGAAAAGACAGGGAAGGGGGGTTCAAAAGCAATTGTCTATATGAGGTTAACCATAGATAATTTAATAACATCTCTTCAAATAAGTGGAAGACTCATTAAGTTGTGAAACTTTATGTGCCGTTATGTGATGTTGAGATGTGCTTCAGATGTAAATAAAAGGTAAGCCTTCCAATGGAATTTAACCAGTAACTGCCAAATAAAACGCGTCCCAAGATAAATTATTTGAAGTACCGCCCCGATTGACGCCTCCCAGCGATCCACAGGCATCTGTAGCATGTTGTACCCGAGAGTTATTTTGGTGGAAAATCAGTATATTTCTGCATTATTCAAATAACAAAAACCTATATCACTTCCTTGCTAAGGTAAAATGCATGATGCATATGTCACAGCCTCACGGCATTTCCTTGGTATATCTTGGAAGGACTTTGTATAGAAGCAATAACGAAGTGAAACATGTATTATCAATATTGCTAAAAAAACCTGTCTCCAACTGTATTGTTCTCAATAGACATTATCACCATGCTGTCTGTATGCCACTGAGTTTGGTGACTTATCTATGTGAATGATACCATGTCTATGCTTTTGGAAGAACATTTTGTTATTCAATAACTTTTGACAATATACATGGTATGGTCTAGTGCTTCGGCCAATGATGTATCTTTATAATTTTCTGTAATGGAATTGTTCCACTTACAAAAAAAAAGTTTCTAGCTATTGTTTACTTGAATTATATCAGCAATGGTAACATAATTGCATATCTATCTTTGGTTGCTTAGGAATGAACTACACTTTGATATTTGATAACTTAATTGTGGGCTCACAGCCTCAAAAGCCAGAAGATATTGATCACCTGAAGCTAAATGAAAATGTAGCATACATATTGAACTTGCAACAGGACAAGGACATTGATTATTGGGGGATTGACTTTGACTCCATATTGAAACAATGTGAACAGGTTGGGATATGTCATATGAGAAAGCCTGTAAGAAATTCCTATCCTCAGCTCCTCTCTTGTATATCTTGTGAATTGGTAGGGGAGGCGAAATACTCTCTTTTAGTCTTCTTGACTCTTTACTCATATATATTACTAGGCTAAAGATTTTGATCCAGATTCGCTGAGAACCATGTTGCCCAGAGCTGTTTCATCATTGGAGTGGGCCATATCAGAGGGGAAAGGAAGGGTATATGTTCATTGTACTGCTGGACTTGGGAGAGCCCCTGCTGTTGCAATCACTTATATGTTCTGGTTTTGTGGCATGAATGTAAGTACTCAACTTCAGACTTTGTTGCCTTAATAAAATTGTTTAATGTTTGAATTATGACGTGACCCATAAGTAAAAACAAGATCAGAATTCAATTTTTTCTGTCTGGATGGGGAACTTGTTGCTAAGATTTTGTACTAAATTCTCCGTTGGTGTTACATGGTTGTGGAGCAGCTGAAAAAGGCATATGATGAACTTACTTCAAAAAGATCTTGTGGACCCAACAAAAAAGCAATACGCGGAGCTACTTATGATCTTGCTAAAAATGACCCTTGGAAGGAGCCATTCGAGAATCTTCCGGAGCATGCTTTTGAGGATATATCAGATTGGGAAAGGAAGCTGATACAAGAACGTGTGCGTGCCCTTCGTGGAACATGAACCAGACACACGGTGCACGGTATCTTTCACACTTAAATATGCTCAAGATAGATTGTTTTGGAGTCTTTTCTCTTAAGTACAATTGCTTAATTGTGAGTCCAGAAACTTTGGCAACATGTGATTTCGTGTCTGTTACAATTGAACTGAGCAAGTGCCATTCATTTAGGGCTATGAGCTGGTTACTTTGTGCTCAAATGCTAGTCCACAGCTTGGGTTTAGTCTATAACAAGATAACCAACTTTTTAGGCTAGTGCTTAGATTGATAGAGCTTTATACATGAGGGTAAAGGGAAATAAGAAAGGAGAACTTAGAAACAAAATCTTCAATGTGAGATGGTGTTCATGGCCGCGGCTCTTTTGACTAGTCTTGGCATTATGCTGTCCATAAGGAAGTGTCAAAGGGTCATGCTTTAGGACTTATACAAGTATGAAACTGAGGAAATGATGGTTTCCTTATTAGACCCAATGATGACCCATGTTTGCTTGTCAGATAGCTAGAAATATTAGCCTGGTCAGTTTGAAAGGTGAGGGATTAACCAAAATTACGCAAGCTAATTTTTCAGACACATGAATATATGCTTGATTATTCATATACACCTTATTAAATTAAAGGTTCTCCTCATCAACCTACCCTGCCCCTATGGAAGTGTCAACATAAACATGGAACTAATGCTTCTGCCCGTGGGGGTTGGAGGTGCCATTTCTATGCTGCCTTACCCTTGCTATTACTGAGAGCCTGTTGCCAATTTAACCCTTGAAATGCTATGCCTGTGACTGTATACTGCTCACATTCAGGCAGAAGCAGAGAATAAATTTAAACAATTTGATTTAATCTAATAATATCTAAACCCAAAGAATTGATCTATTGCCTCCATTTGAAACGGACGAATCTATCAAACAGGTTAAATATGGTATGGATTACACTGCAAGTACATATATATGGCTGGTATAACGAGTGTTAATGTCTTCACATTAAACACAAATAATATCATTCATATTCTTGTAGATTCTGAATAAATTGTTCAATTGTTGGTCGGTTTCAGGAATGGCAAAGGCGAGCTGCAAGAGCGTGCTAGAAAGTCAAGAGTGATTCTGTATATTCATCATAAGACTACTCATTGAAAAAGTAAAGTAATACCGTGGAATCATCATAAAAAAATTGCCTTATCAGGTGGTTGAGGAAATGGTATGGTGGTCCTCTATAGCTATTACACCAACACTGTTATAGCGCCGTGGAGCTCCACCGAGCTGAATACATGTGGAAGTGTTACTGTGCAACATATATCTGTATCTTGTTATTATAGTTTATCATATAATGATGAAAAGGTGTAATAATAGGCAAGAAATTTATAAAGATCATCCCTTCTCTGTGTCTCTAATGTTATATGTACTCTCTTGCAGTGATGAATGGACGAATGTTCCTAATACTACTAGAAGGATGAAGATTTGTGATGTATATCTTGTCCTTGATTGAAATATGGCCTTCTAGTTTTTGCAGAACCATGCTTTATATTTTTTTGTCGTTACAAATTGAGATTGCGCATAAGATATGGGGTAGCTTGTGTTCTAATCTCTATATATTATCATCTTAAGGTGGTTTTACACAATCTAATCTCTTGTAAATTATACAATTGATACCGTAGCAACATAAGATACGCTATATTATTGGATGAAAAACAAATACTACTTCCGTTACATATTATTTGCAACGTTTTGACATAAAGTAAAGAAGAAAAATGTCTAATCGTTGCAAAAAATGTGAAACAGAGGTAGTGTTTGTACAGAATTTTTTTTACTGCATAACTTTGGATCTTTTCTTCTATTGTATTAAAAGGGTCTACAAGAATTTGTATACAAAATTTTCAGTGATTGCATTAAAGCTAAGTTCAATCTAAAACTCTACAGCAGATGGGCATGTGTCATCTGAGATCATCTTCACAACAATCTGAGGTTACAGTACGAGCCTGAAGCTTTACCAGTTGTTCTCGTTGATTTCCCAAGTGTAATGCTGTAAGTATCCACAATAAACACACCTATGTTCAAACAAACAGAAATAAGTTATTCTAATCAGTGCAAGAAGGCAAAAGGAAGATAAGTTATAGAAACAAAATGATCATCTCAGGACAGCCACTAGTTGACTAGAAGCAAGAAGCTGCCTCACTCGATAACTTTCTCGTATGGAGAGGGTGATTCCCACATCAGAGATACTGGTAAATAATAAGTCAAAAGAATAACTGAATAAGGGATTATTCCATAACAATAATGAAAGAAAAGACTATCCACGTCGTTAATATTAAGCTATTGCCTACAGGAACGCAGAGGGTTCTCTACTCGGCCTTTGTTCATAATTTCACATTAATAAGTTATCTGGACAGTATCCTTCCAAATAAAATAAAAAAAAAAAAAAAAGGTTATCTGGATAGTAGTTTTGGACAAAGTTATCGCTGGGTGAAAGTAAAAATTACTCGGAGAATGTTCCTCAAGAGCAGAAACCAGATAGTGTTTCACTTCAGGGAAATTTCTAGGGGTTTTAAGTTTTAACCCAGAAAAATTACATACTACCTCCGTTTTGATTTATTAGTAACATTTACCATAAATGCATACTACAAATTAAATACAACCAATGCTTTCTTTCCTTTTTTACTTGTCATTTCTTTCTATCTCTCCTCATCACATGCAACTTTATTTTTCTCTCTCCATTTACCACTCACAAACAAATTGGTGAATGTCACATCATTGCAAATAAATTGAAACGGAGGTAGTAACTAGATAGCTGGAGTAAGTTAAGAGCAGAATACATGCAACTTACGCTATCCAGCAAATTTTGAATCCAACAGGTGAGATAACGTAGGCACACATCAACCCACAAAACAGTGTGCCAGAGTCTCATATGTTTGAATAAAAAGGGCATAAAACTACAGCAAATAATGTGATCAGTCATTGCAGAGACAGGAGGCCTCCTGTGAGTGGGAACAGGGAACAAGCGATGTGTAAGAGCACACACAGTGAGATTGTAAATCTAGCCATCTTCCAGTCCAAAGGGTTTTGATAACAATAAGGTGAAGCAGTTGGCAGGACACATGAAATATTTTAATGCCAACTGCTTAATCTTATTGTTGACAACCTAGATATAAGACATAAATAGTCAAGCGACTGGTCAGCTACAGAGCTATATCACCTCAAGTTCATCAAGGGCTTCAAGGTTCAATCAACTTAATGTGGATCAGGGATGAAGATTTAAAGAAAGCTAACAATTGTAAGAGTATTGCATTTTTGTAACCAATAGTCCACTTTTAAATTTTCTTTTAAACTTACAATTTGTCCATATTACCCTCAATGATAACTGAAAATACTATCTAGAGGCTTGGTAAGGATAATATATTTCATAAAGAAGAATCAGATGGTAGTTCAACCCAAATCGTGATAAATGACCTTCAACCAAAAGTGTCTTGGTAATGGGGATGTAGCTAAAAATTACAAGAGGTGTGGATAAGTTAAAATCAAAGCCAGAGTTTTATCAGGTCACCAAGAGGAAATTGTGACAATTATCAATGTACTAAAAACGTGTTAAGAAGAGCTGGGATACAGGCATCTTCTCTAGAATGAACTGAAATAATTCAACAATGCAAAGGGATAATGATATAAACAGAGTCTTTAGAGAGCAAGGGCAGCAAAAGGGGGACGAAAAAACCTCTTAACAGCAAGGGAAGCAAAAGGGGATGATAAAACCTCTTAACTCGTAATAAGCAGTTCTCTTTTGCAAGCCAATACTGTAGTAAGATACCCAATCTAAGGCCTGAATAATAAGCATCAATACCATGGACTTCAAACCGATTCACAGATATCAATTTCAGACTGCTGTAAATTTACTTTGAAGAGAAAAACATCCTTGTACATATTGTCAACTTTTTCCCCTTTTCAATTAAATTCCAAACCTTATTGCTAACCTAAACCTTTCTTTATTTTTGGGTGCAGACCTAAACTTATTATTAGAAGGAACCACAGCATGCTTCTTTTCAAATTTGCCTCTAAAACATCTTAAACAAGCAGATTAAGACTTACAGGAAGGGCGTAGAATGATATTGTTGATGTTTTCCCCTCAAAAGATCCAAAAAACAGCTTGAACATCCCTGCTGCGGTGGCATCTCCAAGCCTTTGCACAATTACATCTATGCACACCTGAATCAGTATTTTAAGGAGAAAGGTAGTCAGTAGACAAAAAAATAGCCCAGCAAGATCTATGTGTTGTGACAGATTTTGAAAGAAAAGCAAGGAAAAGGGCCAGAAAAGAAAGATTTTTTTTAAGAAAATGAGGGGTTGGAACCTCAAGTGAATTTTCATAGTAAAAAAATATAGGTGGAATGATACTCTTCTTACATAGCCTATTATATCTATAACATTGATTAATAGCATAAGGTAGAGTAAGTAAGATTTTTAAGATCATGTTCAATGCAGCAATTATGCGTACCTTGGCTTTGTATTTTTCCTCCTGTGAAACAACAGTAAACAGGAGTTCCCTTCCTGGCCTAGTTACAACATACATAACAACCTGTAGAAGGGAGAATGTGAAGCAATGACTTATTCAATAGTATCCCTTTAAATTTAAGTTTCTATACGTGGAACTAAATAGAGCAAATTATACAAAACAAACCTTCCTCAGGGTTTCACAAACACCAACGACAATCCAAGTTGGCCATGCAGATATAGCAACTAAATTGAATAAAGCAGCTAAGGGAGCAGAGCTAATAGCAACAGTGACACCAGCAACAGTAAGTATGCGACCCTGTTTTAGTGAACACAAAATCATTTGCATTAGCAATACCAATAACCTGCATTCCAAATAAGAGTGTCACTTACAAAAGCCATAGATTTGCACCAAACGGACAATAATGGCTTATATATAAAAACTTAGCAGTTAGGAAGCTAAAAAACAATTTAAAAATTTTCCATAACAGGAACAGAAAATCATTTTAGAGCATTATAAACTGAATCATGGGACATCAAAGAAGAAGAGGCATGATTTGGTAGATATAAAATTTGATAGTGGGACATCTATTTGGGGAAGGATGCAACTCTTGATGACGTTTTAGAAATTCATTTAAGGTATAGGTAGCTAAGTAAAGGTCGGAGAGAAAGCCTTGCCTCTACCTAAATGCAACAGAACACATCAAAGATGAATATATGATCAACACATAAGCAGAACTAGGTCAGTGTCATGTGAATCAACTCCACCTTGACATGACCCTCTTTGGCATAGATGAATATATGATTATACTTTCAATAAGCGATCAAATTAGGAATATAGAAATGCAAAGGGGTAGATAAAAGACTTGAGGTGCATCCAGAACAGAGGCCTAAAGTCTCAGCATAAGGTTGATAATGAAGTTGCAAACATATGCGAAGCAAGGCCCACACCTCCAAAATTAGAAGACTGTTATTTTGTATAATACTTTAAAATTCAGATAGAATCACAAGTTAAAGATTAAAATTGAAAATCTCCACAATATGCATCTCATTTTGCCACTTCATAAATTAGCATAACATACCGTTAAGGTGATTTGCCCTGAAAATATAAAAAGGGCAATAAAGCTATTGATCTCCGCAAACAATTTCATTCTACCAGCAGCACTTGATGTTGTCAGGGCAATTATAGAAACTTTCTGAAACAGCAGTAAATAAAATAATAAGCAAAAATTAATGTGACTTAGTTCACGAGAAATATAATTGATATTAAAAAGAAAACCAAATATAAGGCTCATAGATCAGAGATAAAGTTGTCTTAACCCTAACTAAGAAGAGCATATGGCCCATCCAAAGACAAGTACCATACTTTTAACTCAGCATTAGTAACTGTGATACTGACTTTACTACTAGGTAAATCCTTAAACCTTATGAAAGCAACCTGTAATACATTAAGGACTATGAGGATACACATAAGCATCTGAACAACATTAGTCAAGAAGAAATAGTGATCATTCTATGCAGAATAAACAATATCGACAAAGGGTCATCTCTCTGCAGGTCAGATATGAAAACCTCTAACAACGGTATCATAATTTCACTGTTATTAAAAATTTGCAAGTCTAGTACTCTATTAAGACAGCCCAGTCAACCGCAATTCTCCTGGTCCCTCCCTGCCTTTTAGAAATACAGTTAGTCTTCCACTTAACAAGGGTCAACTTTCTCAATAAATCTCAGTCATTAGAGGAAACCTCATTGCCATAATGAGGCCCTATGCACGTTGCTGATGTAAAGTTCAGATAAAGAAAAAAAATTATTGGACAAAAAAAACTACAAAAATTCAAGGGATTATGAGGTCAACCTCACAATCACAAGGTGGATACTAAATACATACACCCCAGCGAGGGTTATCCTAGCAATCATGTCAAACATTTAATTAGCAATGATGTATTGGTCAAATACAACAGAAGCGCCCAAAAGGGTAATGAAAATTTCCACATAGTATTGTGACTGCTCAAGCAGCTTAGATGTGTTTACAGGCTTCATGTTCTAATGTCTTTGTCTCATCATCATCCTATACTTACTGACAATCGAATAAATATCAACAACAGTGGTGGATTTCATGAAGTGATTGCCACCAAATACGGGCAGTTTGATTGCAAAGTTATCACGAAGCACCATAACATCTTCCACAAAGATACAACATTCAAAATATCCATGCATAACACACAACCAAACTGCCATGAAACATAAGCTATCTTACCTGGAAGTAAAAGAATGATGAGACAACAGCACTCAGCCATAGATACAGTGATACATAGATCAAATAAGATGAGGAGAGTATAAGCCTAAAGCCATCCAACATAGCCAAAAGTTGAGGTGTTTCTGGAGAAGATTCCTTAGGCGTTGATGTTTTCTTTATCGCTCCACTTTGTTCTTCATCCAGTTTACTGTGTACAGCAAGTCAAAATAATAAGATTCTGAAATACTGAATATTTAAATTAGGAGTTATCCTCCTCTTAAATCATATAGATCAACAGGCAGAACATTATCTTGAAAAAGATGTGTTTATACTTCTCACTGAATAAATCAAATCCTACAACAGAATCGATTGGATACAAACGTAAATGCATGTTCTCAAAAACTGATGCTACCCGAAATTACCCAGGATACTTGTGTTTATGCCTCTAGCTTAAAAATTTAGCTCCAACAAAAGAAAGAGATATTGATTTGGTACAAATCTAAATTCAAGTTCTCTAAGACTAATGCTACCCAATGTATCTCCAGAAAACTCAAATAAGTTCAAACAATAATAGCTCTATGTACATAAAACAAACCATACTACAATCCTTGTGCACTATTCCAAACATGATTACATTCAATTTATATGCCCCTGACTGCGGCAGAAAATTTAGAGTCAGCATAGAGGCCATATAGGAAGTACAATACAAGCTATATACACTTATATAAAACATTATTTCTCCATAAGCTTCCCCAAACCCTTATTATCATAGAGAGTGAGAGGATATGAAGAATTAGAAGTTTATTGCTTTGAGAGTGAGCACACATATTAATTTAAGTAGTCATATTACCATGGGAATTTTGTAGAAAACTTATTCTTCCAAAGAGAGCTCACACACATCAAATTAAAATTGGAAAAAAAAAAAAAGTCATATTATGTTTTCACACAAATATAACCAATTTATAAATAAAGAGATAGATTCTCTTCAAAGTCCAAACGCGTGTAGTCTCCTTACTTAGACCATTAGCAATTACCCACATTCTATAGGCCAGATAACGCTGCATAAAGCCTAACTGAAGTCTCAATACTCTTGGTAAACTGGTGTTCAGAAAAAGTCTACCAGGAATTGACTGACCAACTTTTGGAAATCAATTAAATTTGGCACTGATGTGACATTGGGCATCCATATCAAATTGTAGAACGTTCCCTACAAATAAGATAACGTTCACCTGTCTCAAATCATTTCATTGCTCATTTTATCTCTCCTTGTAACATTGCACATCCAACTAACCATCATTTTCTCTAGTCCTATTAATTCATTTATTGTATTTTCTCACAAAGGCCACAATCAACATATTTATTATCTCATACCCTGAGTTCATTCAAAGGCATAAGGCTTTGTAACCATAGAACATACCTAGGTCATACCATTATAATCATTAAGTTTCAGACAAGGGATTAACAAAAGAAAAAGGAAATTGGTACTCTATCTTACATCATTGGAGTGTCTTCCTCAGAAATATGGGGTGTGCCTTGACTAATTCCTTTAGAAGACTGTGCAGCTAGTTCCATTAGAAAAGCAGCCACTAGGAGTAAAACTGAAAGCAACAGATATCAAGGACTGTGTCATAACAAAAGCAAAAACAAATAAAAAAGAAAAAAAATCCATAGCAAGTATTGAAGTCATAACAAGACAATCACATACAAGGTCCCAGCCAAGCCATTCCAGTCGCAAATAATGATCCGAACAGCTGACCAAGTGTAGCACCCGCACCAATAAACCCAAACAGTCTTGAGCCTGACTGGATATAAATCCAAGTTAAATTCTCCAAAAGCCTTCATCCATCAATCAACAGAAGGATAGTAACTAACCTCGCTATCCATTACATCGATTACTCTTGCCCACGTTGAAGAGATAGTTATCAAATTCAACAAAGCAATCTTCAATAAGCAAAGAAGAAAAATCAAATAAGAATCGTAAAATATCAAATACTAAAGCAAGCATTTAACTTCAAGCTGGAGGACATAACCATACCCAAAGGAATAAACCAATTCTCACTGAGATGTAATACCATGAGAGGTCATCCCAACTAGAGTGCATAACATTGGAATGCTCCCCGCCAACATTTTGATCATGTTCTGAATGCACATCAACTGAATCCTGAGTCCCAAAACAGGAAGCATTAAGAACTAATAAAAAACTAAGAAACAGAATCCCAACATTAAAGCAGACTGCATTCATAAGTATTTTCTCGTAATGAATTAGTTATCTCACCTTATTATTGGATGTGGAAGATCCATTTGTTGAAGTATGCCAAAAAACAAAGAATATGACAAGTGACAAGCTAAAAAATCTGTGTATCAACACCAGAGCCTGAAATTTTAAAAATCATCTATGAATAATGGCACAGAAACAGCTATATTTGTGCAGTGTCAATACTAGCTTTAAACTCCGATAGACAGCATGTAACACGAACTTTACACCAAGTAACATGAATCGAGACTTTCTACAACTAAACCATCAGGTCTTCACTTTTCTAGAACCACCATTATTTTTAAGTTAACACTGAATGGTTCAGCAAAAAGACTACTTCTATCACAGTTGATATCAGATTTGCAAGTTGCAAAGTGAAAATAATGCCACTATTACACAACAGCTCTGTCTCTATTCAGCAACTCCTCCAAATTTGGATTAGATCGGAATGTATCATTTCACTACTCAATGATGTTTCATAACTTATTATCACTTGTCAGTTGTCACAGCATAACAAGAAAAAAGATCTCCGAATCCATCAACATTATTAAAGCCTTTTCAATTAATCATTAATTCTACACACAACAATAAGACCTTTTTCTATAAACCCTTTGATTCCTAAAATAATAAGACCTTTTTCAATCAACCCTTGATTCTACACACAACAACATTATACTACTTCAACTCCGACTCTTCCCAGCACCTAATTTTCGCTTATTTCAAGAAAAATAAGTTCATAAATCAAATGAGTTAAAAGTTCGGGACCAATGAGTTCACATATATAAAATCCAGTGCCAATAAGTTCAAATAAGTTAAGTTCGGAGCACTAAGTTCATACAAGTTAAGTTCGGGAACAACAAGTTCACATAAATCAAGCTAACAACATAACGAAAAGTCAATACCCTGCCTTTGGATAGATTTGGCAGCGAAAAGAGCAATGTAGAGAGAGGAGCAGCAATCAAAGTAAGAACCAACGATCCAATAAAAAGCTCAGGAAGATTTGATAACCCTAATGATATTGCTCCTTCATCTCGCAATGGTAATACCACAAAGTATGCACTCAAAATCTGTCCAATTCAACAAAATCAAAATCAAAATAAATAATATAAACACTCAATTTCAATCATCAAAATCAAGAACAATTGCGGAAAATGAGATCATAAAAATTACTGAATAATAAAATTAAAAAAATTAAAAAAAAAAAAAGGGAGAAATTGCATACGAAGAAGAAAGATCCAGCGGAGTGAAGAAGCGGCGAGATTTCGTGAGGTTTGACGTCAACGACCGCCGACAAAATCGCTGCCAGTCGCCGGCGATCAGCCATTGTTTCTCTCTCCTCGAGATTGAAGGGTTTTTAGCTCAGGGGAGAGTAATGAACGAGAATTGGGACTTGGGAGTGTATTTGGATTTTGTCGTTAAAACTGTTATAAGCCCAAATTATCTGCTCCCACGGCCAAAATCTCGATAGTACCAAACTCTCAATATGGACTCGGTAAACGTTCGGTCAAAACAACTTGTTTCAATTCGAATTCAACTCAACTTGTAGTTTTAACAAGCACGAATTGACTCATTGAACAAGCAATAACTTGATTCCTTAAGCTAGTGAGCAGCTCGATAATTTTTTTTACTCCCTCCGTTTTTTTATAGGCTAGAGATGAGATTGCGCGGAGTTTTAGGTAGTTTAATAAAATAAAAAGTTAGCGGGGTAAATAAGGTTATTATTTTATTGAAAAGTAAAGTAGTGTGAGAGGGGACTGGGGACCATTGGGGAGTGAAAAATCAATAAATATATATATATAAAATAAAGTAATACTAAAACAGACACCAAAATTGACACTTGTCAAATCTTGGTTCAAAATTTTCCCTCCAAAACCTATTTTTCTTTTTTATTTTTCTTTTCATTTTAGCCATTATGGAAAAGATTTTATTATGTATAGGTAGAATCTAATTATTTCCTATTGTTTCTTTTGTAATTGTTTCAACTAATATATTGTTTCCTATAATTCAAGATTTAAATTTATCAAATTTGTTTCAAACTCAATATTATTTCTTAAATTGGTCAACTTATACATTATTGGAAATACGAGTAATATTTTTTGAGTCGTTTTCCTAGATAATTTTAAGTGGAATTGAAATCATTTTAATTAATCTTATTTGTAGTACTTGAATAATTATATTCTTTCAATAATTAAAAAAAAAAAATCTACCAAAAAAACTTTGACGATAGTCTTCTTTGTTTTGAATTATTGTCTTTGGAATTTTTAATTATTTTTACTTAACCTTTTTCATAACAATTTTAACAATATTACTATTGAGACGGACCACTTATGATCACCTCTAATGGAAGCCTAACATATATCTTATAAATAAACTCAAATTTATGAATTTTTTACATTGAATAATTATTTTAGAATGGTATCTCATTTATAAATTCCACAGTACATTAATTTCTTTTATTATTGGTCTAATTCTTTAATAATTTCATTATCATTGTTATAGGTTTGTGTCAATTTGTGTCTACACACTACTAAGCTATGAGCTATGTGATTAATTAAATTTGACTAAGTTATTTGAATTTCCTTCAATAAATCACCATTTTTTTTTTGTATAAATAGTGGTCGAACTATAATATCTTTAGAATTCTTCAAAAAGTTTAGTAATACCGTGGGTTGCACGGGTTCTAAACTAGTGATAAAGTAAGAAAGAGTGGGAACATTAGTGGGTAAAGATATATTATTAAATTGTAAGAGATTTCCAAAAATGAAAAACTCTAACTTACAAAAAAAAACGAACGAAAATAGTAACTCTACCTTATAAAAAAAACCGGAGGGAGTTTTAATTATGAAAATAAAAAATCAGTTAAAAAATAATTTAGTACTCCTCTTTAGAGATAAGTTAGTACTTTTATCCACCATTCACCCTATTTTAAGTTTAAAGGGGAATACATTAAATAATGATGAACTACTACTATATATATATATATACTTTTACATTTGCTATTTTTTAAGTAGTACTCCATACTAGATATATATTGACTAAAAGACAAATTATTTTCTTAAACTAAATCTAAAATAAAAAGTATTTAAAATTAATATGTAGATATAAAATAAAAATAAAAAAAAAAGTCAAATTCATCTGTATAAAATATAATGAAGTACATGAAAACTATATATAATACAATAATATTTAACGTAGTACGTATTATTTTGGGGCATCACCCGGACTAAACACTAGTCAATACTACGTATTATAAAAGTAAAAGTTTTGCAATTATTAAAAAACCTAGGAAGCACTTCCTCCTTTTTTTAGTTGACACCATTTAGGTTTTGCACTATTCACAAACTATACTTTGACTAGTTTTTGTGATTTAAAGCTACGATAAGACATAATCATATGGGATCTTACTTGAATCATCCCAATGTATATTTTATTAATATCTACTCGTACTTTTTTTAATTTTACAATATCGATATTTAGAGATATTAATCGTTAAAATTGTACATAAGCAAGCGTGATAATAAAAATGTGTCAACTAAAAAAACGGAGGTAGTAAATGCAATAAGCCAATAAGTTGTAGGAAGGAGTTTATTTCTTAAACAAATGTTTTTCGTGCTGTATAAAACAAGAAAGTTTGAATTACAAAATGTCGCCACGTGGCCCACATTGCTCCGTGAGTTATGAACCGCCTGTTTAGACAAGCCAGTGAATCATTTTTGGAAGAAAACCTTCCATAATTGAGCATCTTAATGAATTCTCACCTATACCCTTCATTATCATTCATGCTATAAAATTGTGACATAACGTAGGCATGTATATCAACACAACGTCCAAAAGATGCAATTGCTAACAATTAATAGTGATATATATAACATAACTGTCATAGCTACTAAATACGTAGCATTCTTCCTAGCCACATACTACACTCTTAAGCATACAATCCTACGCTACAATCTCAAGATCAAACTACCACCAAGCCCTTTTCTCTCTTTCCCCGTCATTGGCCACCTCTACCTCTTTTACAAGCCCCTCCATCGTTCTCTAGCGCGTTGTCCGCCCAATATGGTCCAATTCTCTATCTCAGGTTTGGAGCTCGGCACATTGTGCCATCCTCTTCTATTGTGGAGGAGTGCTTAGTCCGGAATGATGTTTTTGTGAACCGGCCTAAGCTCCTCTCTGGAAAGTACAATGGAAATAACTTCACAACTATTGCATGGGCCCCATATGGGGCCCATTGGAAAAACTTACGAAGGATTGCAGCCGTTGAGATTCTATCTCCTAAACGACTGTAGATCCTATCAAAGATTCGGGCCAATGTGGCCCAATCCTTTATCGTCGGATTATGAAGTTAGAAAGTAGTAGTGGAGATGGTGTGGTGGAAATGAACTCGGCCTTATTTGGGCTAACCTTAGACAACATGATGAAGTCGGTAATGGGGAAGAGTAACTTTGAAGAGGGAGATGAAGGGATAGAATGTTTTAGAAGGTTTGAGAAACTTTTAAAGCAAAGTTTTAATAGGAGTGGGGTTTCAAATATAGAAGATTTCTTGCCTATCTTAAAGCTGTTTAAGGTGTTTTATTGGTCAAACGAGAATATGCTAAAGACGATCATAGAAGATTGCAATGAGATCATGAAAGTAATGTTAAAAGAGCATAGGAAAATGGAGGAGGAGGGAAGATTAACCGAGGATAGAAAGAGGTCAATGTTGCATGTTTTGTTGTCCTTAAAAAAAAAAGGATCCTCAATATTATACAGATGAGTTGATTAAATACTTCATCTTGGCAAGTCTCCTGTACTTTTTTTTTTTTTTTTTTTCACAAATTTCAGATCGAGTTTAATACTTCTTCCGTTTTTTAAATATTGCACTACTTGTCTTTTAAGGAAGTTTCACAAATATTGAACCATAACCATTTTAGGAAAGTAAATATTTGTGTTCACACTACAAATATCTTATATACCCTTATCTTTTAACACTTAAATCTTTAGTTTAGGTTTACAATCACATGGCAATTTTGTACTTTTATCTTTCTCTCTCTTCCTTTTTTCCACTACCAAAAAAATTTGTGCCCAACCCTGAGGCCAGTCACTTCTATTTAATTTTTGCTTCAGTTTTCTTTAATTTTTCTCTCTCTTATTCTCTCTCCTCTTGCAATTTGCTTTAATTCTATCTTCTCCTGCAATTTTCTTTTATTATCTCTCCTCTAAATTCTCTATGTTATTCTTGCAATTGTTGAAAATGGTGAAATTGAAGATCATAAATCCCAAGGGAAAGAAAAGATCGTCTACTTGTAAAACAATTGATCTGATAAATCTTCAAACCCTATTTTTTACATTTTTAAGAATTTTTGAAAATCATATGCATTTTGCCCTATTTTTTACAGTATTGTTGTTTTTGCGAGTGTTTCGACCTAAGTTTCGTTTTTTTATTTGGTTGCATATGCTTAATTATAAGTTCTTTTATGTTAAATTTTGTTTTTGTTCTGTTGCTGTGTTGCATATGCTTACTTTTCTGTTGTTGTGGCTCTGATGAGTTACTTGTATTGTTAATTTTTAGGGTTACCTGTATGTATGTCAGGGTTGATTTTGTTTTTGCGAGTGTTAGGTTGAAGAAGTTTCGAATTTCTTTTGTATTTGTTTAATTTTTAGTTTCTTTTGTATTTGTTTTGTGAATGTTGACCTAAGTTTTGAATCGGTTTTGTTTTGCGTCATTTTGTTTCATATTTTAAATTATCTATAAATAGGTTACTTGAAATTAGGGGTTACGTGAAATTAGGTGTTACTCATAATATGGGTTAACTGTTGAGGGGATACTGATTGTATTGGTTACTTGAAATTAGGGGAAATTTATAATATGGGTTACTTGAAATTAGGGGTTACTTATAATATGGGTTACTTGTTTTTGTCTTCTGTTTTGGGTATGTTATAAAATGGGTTACTTGAAATTAGGGGTTACTTAAAATTATGGGTTACTTGAAATTAGGGATTACTTATAATATGGGTTGCTTGAAATTAGGGGTTACTACTTGAAATTATGGGTTACTTGAAATTAGGGGTTACTTATAATATGGATTACTTGAAATTAGGGGTTACTTGAAATTTGGGGTTACTTGAAATTAGGGGTTACTTGAAATTGCGCGTAAATGTCAAACTTCGTTATGCGCGTCAGACTCCGTTATTTTTGTTGAGTTGGCAGCAGCCCACACGGTGTGGCCTACTGCACCAAAAAGGCGCTGTAAAAGAACGGAGAAAGTATAAATATTTGTATTTTATCATCTAGAGTTAACTTAAAATACACAAATTATTGGTTAAGGCGGACTTTTATTAAATTATTGTAAAACGGGTTAAAGTTACCTTATATACTATTGAAGTTAACATTTTCCTAAGATAAATTTATTTTACTCTTAGAATAACACTTTATAATGTATTAAATTAATTATATTAGATTTTATAACTTATATCCATTAGGAAATACACATTAAACTACCATAAAAATCATTATAAAATTAAAGGTTACCCTAGTCTTATAAGGGGTTAAAGCTACCATA